ATGATATTGAAATAGATTTAGAACAAGCACGAATTAGATCTAATTATGATGAATTAAATAATAAAAAAAGAAAATTAAATAACTTTTTAGATACTGATGATTTATTAGAAGATAATAATCTAGATATTAGTGAATGTTCAAGTAAAGAAATTAAAAGAATTAGAAATGATCAAGGATTAAATAGATTACTTAAAAAGATTTAACTAATTTTTTTTTATTTTTAAAATATATATATTAAATAAATTATATTTGTATTATTATTTTTATTTTAATAAATTTATAAAATTATTCCATAAATTATCATTATATTTTCGTCTAAAAATAAATTCTTGTAAATATTTTTCTATGAGATGTTCCTTTCGATTTCTTTTTGATATGAAAATCTTGAGTCCATTCCAAGTGCCTCTAAAAAAAATTAATATTAAATTTTATTTTAAATATTAATTAATTTTATAAAAAATAATTACTCAATATTATTTGAATGTATTCCAAATGTCTCTCCTTGAGCTCTTGAATGATTAATTTTTCTATGAATTATATCTAATCCTTGTAACTGATAACCTCGCCAACAATCTGTAAATACTATAGATTTTGGTTTCACATATTGTTTTACAATACGTCTAATTGTACTTGCATTTCTATCTTTCGCAACACAAAAAACATTTTCTTTTAGCAGTTCGTTCAACACCACCAATTATCCATAGATTATTAAATTTTGATTCATCTAATTCACAAATAATTCTATCACCTCCTATTACAAAATCATCTTCTTGCAAACTATTAATCATTATTTCTCTAAAAATACCAATATATTTCTCTATTGTTGCACTAGAATATGGTACCATATAACTAATCGATGAGTAATTAATCTTGTTTAACCAAAAATATAATATTAACAAAATATCACAACTTTTGATTTTACTATTGTCAAAAATAGTATTCTTGTAGATACTTAAAGTTTTTTCACAATTTTTACATTTGTATAATTTTAATTGATACTTGTTCATCTCGATATTACAATTTTGACATCTTGGTTTTTTAACTATATTTTTATCAAATAGAAATTTAACACATTCACTCTCATCAAACAGAATTTTATTTAAAGGTTTCAGTAAAATTTTAGGCATTTTTTTATTTGTTAAAAAATGAATTTAGGTTAATTTATATAAATTATATTATTTTTTTTACATAATAAATTTTTATCATATGATATATTATTATTTATATTTTTTTTCTGCGGTAAATTTTGTGACGTTTCAAAAAAATTTTTTAAATTTTTTTTTGTAAATCATTTCATAAAATTTAGTAAAATGTCATAGTTTAATAATTACGTTATATTGTGATATTATATCGTGATAATTCTAATAAAGATTTTCTTTGTTAACAAATTTGTATTGTTTATCATTGTTGTTTGCATGCAAAATTATGTAAATCAAGTTTGTTTACATGTTTGATCATTATAAAATACAAAAAAAAGATGATCTTTTTTTTCTTCACAAACGAATAATTATTATCGAAGGTTAATATTTCTTTCTTTACATATATTTTTTTTTTAAAAAAACATGATTAAAAACTATGCTAGCTAAGTCTTTAGCACCCAAACTCAACTATTTCTGATAACATGTTCTCAAGTCTTTCATTAAAAATCTTATCAACCTCTGTTATCAACTTAGTTCTCAATCAGTTAAAACTGGTTTTTTCTTTTGCCGGCTTCTTTCTTTGCTTTAGACTTATGATTTTTATTTTGTTTTTTTTAATTTATTGTTTAAAATATCATTTACTAACTAATATTTTTTATTATTTTTTTTACAAGATAGAAACATGTCTAACGTTATTGACGATATTGATTCTATAATTGAACAGAATCATAATCTTCAAAGTTCTCTAATTCAAATTCGCAAGAAACTTAATGAAACAAAAGTCAAACCCAAAAGTTTAAATGAAATTATCGAGAAGACTAAACCAAACAATTTAAAGAATCAAAATGAAATTGATATCGAAAGGTTGAATTTAATCATTAAAGGATGGAAAACAAATTTATCATTATATGAAAATATCAAGAATCTTAATAATGAATTAGAAGAGTATAGGGATAAGTACTATAAACTTAATACTAAATACAATAGTTTAGTTCATAATGAATAAATTTTATTCATATTTTTTTATATTTGTTATTATTTTTTATAATAAAATTTAAAAAAAAAACAAATTAATGTTTTAAAATTATATAATCTTTTAAATTTATTAATGATTAATTGTTTAGTTTTTTTATACAAATATTAAATAAAATATTTTATTAATTTAAATAAATAAAAAAAAACTATAGATTTTTTTAAAAAATTTGTTTGTAAAAAGTATAAAAAGAAAATTACGTAGGAAATAATTTATTCTTTTAAAGAAATAAAAACTAGATGCCTGTAAGCAAAAAAGAAAAAATACATAAAGTAAAAACATTTACTAAGAAAACATCATGTTTAAATTGTCGAAAGCGTGGTATAAAATGTGAAAAAGAAGATAGTGAGGAAAATTGTAGTCTTTGTACAAGACAAGGTAAAAAATGTATCATTTTCAAGCCTCAATATATGGAAAAACATATTGTTGAGCTAACTGAAGAAGTTCGAAGAAATAAAGAAGAGATTCAAGATTTGAAGATTAGAGTAACAAATTTAGAAAAATCACATAATAAATTACTATTAAACCTTAAACAAAGATCAATTCTTGATGAAGAATTAAAACTCGAATTCAATTTTTAGAGAAAATTATGATTCAAAATTGTATTTTTATTCAAATATTAAATTTTATTAAATTATTTCTACAAATATTTAAAATATTCATTTTTTTTAAAACATAATAAAATTTTATATATTTTTTTTATAATTAAAACTCTGTTTTTAATGCAAAAGATACTTAGGTACTAAAATCTGATTAGTCAGATTTCAAAATCAGTTTTTAACGCAAAAGATACTCATCAGTTTTATGAATGAACACTACAAAAAACTCTATGAATTTTTTATGTTTTGAATGAATTCTATGAAAAAACTCTGAGAATTTTTCACACTTTAAACAAACTTTATGAAAAAACTCTATGAATTTTTCACGCTTTGAACGAATTCTATGAAAAAACTCTGAGAATTTTTCACATTTTGAATGAACTCTATGAAAAAACTCTGTGAATTTTTCATGCTTTGAATGAACTCTACAAAAAACTCTGAGAATTTTTCATGTTTTATCATAAAACATATTAAACTCAAAATAATTTTAATATTTTTTGAGCACTTACGAGACACAGAATGATTAAACTCAGAATAATTTTAACATTTTTTGAGCACTTACGAACACAGAATGATTAAACTCAGAATAATTTTAACATTTTTTGAGCACTTACGAGATACAGGATTACAGTTTTTTATTGCAAAATATATTCATATACCAAAATCTGATTGGTTAGATTTCAAAGTACTCAGTTTTAACTTAAAACATATTTCAAATATTAACTTGTATAAAGTAAAAAAATATTTAATAATAAAAGTAAAAAATATTTAATATTTATTATAAATTTTAGTTACATATTGTTTATGAACTTCTTTAAAACCATGTTCTAAATGAGCTATAAGAAAAATTAATTTATTTCTATGTTTAAACAAGCTACAATCAAAATCATACTTAGCATATGCTACTGATAATTTTACACAAAACATATTTTTATCCTTTGCTTTTCTAATATCCTGTAACATCTTTCGATATTTT